TCCTTCTGCAGCAAAGCATCTGGTGGATTCAAACTGTGCACCTCTGGGAGTGCAGTGCAGCTTCTTGCCACTAGGCCACCAGCACTCGCCAGATTTTCTTGATGTGGGGATTGAAGGGGGATTTTCCAGTTCCACCATTGAAGATTCATTCCTTTGGATACAGCAGCTCAGCTCAGCTAATTGCCAGTGAGTCAAAACCAACTCACAGCTGACCTTCCTGTGGCTCTTCAGAAGCTATACATTGCATAAGAAATTGATTGCCCATCTTTCTCCCACCTTTGGATACATCCTTGTTTAAAATGCAAGAGCCACAGGGAGAATTTGTGAGAGCTGAGCAGATGGAGCTGAGGCAAACTTCTGAGAGAAAAGCTAGATGAAATGGTGTTTGTGGTTAATGGGTAAAGAACAGCATGCCCATGACCAGCTCCTTCCTGTTCAGCATTCTGTCCTGAAGCTGTCTTATGTCAGGGCCTCAGGGGCCCCAGCTCTCCTCAAGTTATAGAGCATCCTCTCTCCCCAGGAATTTAAGGCTGTGGACCATCCTCCTTTCCTCCCCAGGTCAGGGCTAAAACAGTTGACTTTGCCTTCTTTCAGGTGGTTTGGGCCAACTCTGGAAAGGTGGGGTGTGACACCCAACTTTGTGCTAAACTCCAGAATGTTGAAGAATCCGATGTCCACTTTCTGGTTTGCAACTATGCACCCCCGTGAGTGCTATACTATGCTGTGCCGGAGGAGCCCAGGGGCTGGGGTGGCAGTGGGGTGGGCAGGTCTAAGGAGGGGTCTCAGAAGAATAGAGGCCAAAGGAGCAGAAGCTTAAACCTAGGGATGGGTCTGCTGTGACTGTCCAAAGGGCACCATGAAGAATCCCGGGATATTACTAAGTTAGTGTTGGGCAGGCAGCCGATCCAAGGCTTTCCTGGATGGCTCCCTGTCTAGGTGTGTGTAGGTGAGGGCGAAGGGATGGGCAGACACTTTCCCCCAGTTGCTTCTTCTTGCTTGCTTCTTGCAGAGGGAACTTTCGTAACCAGAAGCCCTACAAGGAAGGACAACCATGCTCTGATTGCCCCACAAACTATTTTTGTGAGAATTTCCTCTGCGGTGAGTCCTGGGGAGAGAGAAGGGAGGAGCAGCATTGGACATTCCACTGGACAATAATAGTCTCCCAGGTGGAGGGTGGATGGGGGGGGGGCGCGTCTGGTGGGACATAACCCCTAAGACCCTTGTCGACCTATCCCACCCAGGCTCCTCCTTGCACAGCCAGTATTGGCACGTTGACTCACCTTTCAAGGTGGTGGGTCAGTCCAGCAGCTCCTTGAACGATGGAGCCATTTAGGTGTGACTGGACGCAGACCAGACCCTCCATGTGGAGGGCATGTTAAGAACAGCAATTCAGTGAAGGAGTTTACTGAAGAGATGAGAGTGCCAGTGTAGAGAGCTGGTCAAGGATTTGTGATGGAGAGACAAGTATGTGACTAGCAACAAATAGTCATTACTGAGACTAGAAATGTGCTTGGTAGACAGGGTGTGTGTGCGTGTGTGCGTGTGCTAGCAGGGCACTCGGTTGTCTCATATTGGTTGCGGTGGGTGTGTGGTGTAGGCTCCTACTTCTTATACTAATGTCAGACCTGTCTGTCTTATCAGAACCCAACAGAGGTCCGGAAGAGCCTCAGGATTTGCCTTTCCCAAAGATTGAGGCCCAGACCTCCATGGCAACAGAAGCCTCGAGCTTTAATAAATCAAGTGCCCCTTCCTCCCCAGCAACCAAGGCTCCGGCCTTCTTAGTAACAGAGGTTTCAACCTCCCTGGCAACCAAGAGTTTGCCTACTGTACAGACTGATGCCCCATCTTCCTTAGAAGGGAAAGATTCCTTCTCCATGGCAACCGAGGCCCCACCCATCTCAACAACTGAGAGGCCATCCTCTCTGACAACTCACAGTCTCCTCAGACCAGTTACCTCCCCTAAGTCTACCCACGTGCCTTTCCTCACATCAACGGCCAAAGTTGTCAGCAGGACAACTGTTCCCTCTACAAGTCCAGTGACATCTTTGTACTCCAAGATGTCCCTGACAGGGACTCTGCAGCCCCTGTCCTACACCCAAGAGAAAGCACTTCCCAGTGAAAGTTCAGTATCAGTTTTCCCAATCCAAGATGAGCCAGATAAGCTACAGACCACATTTGTCCACTTGGGGCACACCTCCTTCAGGTCCCTGCCCCAAGCCCCCAATAATTCCAGCCCTGCTAGTGCTCTAGGTGGGCGCACACTAGCCCTGCAGTCATCCTTGCCAGGTAAGGCCTGTGTTGTCTACTCTCCCTGTTCTGGCTCCAGCATGTCTGCATTCTGTCCCCAGCTTGGATGTATGGGTTTGGTGGGGGGCATGCATACTCTGAAGAAGGAGGCTTCTTCAACCTGGCTGCTGAGCCTCTTTCTTGCATGGCCAATGAGGTGGGTGTGTTGTCAGGCATACAGCTGTCTCCAACTCAGGCAAAACTTCTCCTTATTGCAGCTAAAAAGCTTGAAGTTGAGTTAGAGCATTATCCCAGCCCTACAGATCAGAAGCCGGGAGGATGGAATCCAGCAGAGCCCAAGCAGGAGAAGCCCAAACAAGAGGAGATTAAACCCATTGGACTCAACCCAGTCGGGCTCACGCCAGTCCTGATAGGACAGAACCAATTGGCGCCCAAGCCAAACCTGACTGAGAAGAACCAATTGGGGCCCAAGCCAAACCTGACTGGGCAGAACCAATTGGCGCCCAAGCCAAACCTGACTAGGCAGAACGCCCTCAAGCAGGAGTCAGAGGAATCAAACCCCGAAAAGAAGCTGGATGAGCTGGAGGAGGATCTAAGTCTGGAAAGATCTCCTGTGAAAAAGCCACAGGTGACCAAAAAAAAATCTGTCAGGCCTACCACAAAGCCAAAACCACACCAAAAGCCGAAAACAAAACATCCAAAGCCTCACTCGGCCTCCACTTGTGTGAGGAGGCCCCTCCTCGGACTGCTGCTGCTGCTTCTCCTTGTGTTGGCTGGCATCTTCTAATAGGCCTGCCACTCCAAGGCAAGACCTGGCATGGAAACCTTTGCCTCAAACTCCACTCTACATGGCTTTTCTCAAAATGAGAGGCCACCTGGGCAAGTCTTGCCTATGGTCCAGCATCCTCCCTCACCCCAGCTTCTGCCTAAGACCCCTTGGTGTGTCAGCTCTCTGGCAGCGATACCCCTTGAGCACCCTCCCCCTTCTTCGGCCTCTGGAGAAGCCTACCCCGCAGGGGGCTGCAGACTGCTCTGGGAGGGGTTCCTGTGGCTGCATGTGCCATTTCTTCAGTTGTCCCTGTGGTCACAGGCCTGCTCTCCTCAGAGGCAGAGGCTCTCAGAACTCCCTAGAAATTCCTTCCCCTGTTGCCATCCCGAAGCTGCTTGCTCCAGGCCTGCTTTCCCAGTGTGAAGACTCCAGTCACCCTCTTCCCACCCTATCCGAAGTCTCCCAAACAAGCTGTTTCTCAGCTGAAGGCTCCCTGAAAGGGAAAGGCTACAGGACATGCACCTCATCCATAGACATCCAGGCATAAGGCCAGGCTGGCTGTGAGCTCAGGAGCAACCTGATGACTGGGCACCTGGCCTGGACCTCTCCTGCCCCCACCTCTGTCCTGGGGGTGGGGGAGACTTGAGAGAAAGCATTGCCTGTCTGTCTGACCTGGAGCTGCTACTTATTTTGGCAAGAGGGCTTATGACCCCTTCCTATCTATTTTTCTGTGTAGCTGGAGAAGGGAACAATGAGGGGCTGGTAAAGGACAAGCCTCAAATGAGTGGGGTCCTGTGGGTGGGGCTGGCAACCCTTAACTCCTAAATAAAAGTCTGTCTACAGGTACCTAGCATCAGTGCTTGTATGGGTGTGGGAGACCCTGAAGCAGCTCAGTTCTTTTCCCTAACCAACCAGTATCATTTCTTCCTCATGTACCCATTCCTGAGCACATTCACCTTTTTTTCCTAATTTTATTTTTTATGTGCGCCAAATTGGATCTGACTGTTACAGGAGGAGATTGCTCCTCCTTCTCCAGCAGAGCATCTGCTGGATTCGAACTGCATACCTCTGGGGTTGCAGTGACACATTCACCTCTTAAGGGCAACCTTCCTTTCTTTTCTATAGGAGTTCCCACCCTAAAATCTTCAAAGCTCCCACTCCTTCCTCCTCAGAACAAGAGGCAGAAGATGGGGAGGGTATGGGGCTGACCTTCCCAGATTCAGGAGTCACCAGTGGGTGGGGTCCAGGATTCAAGAGGTGCCCCTGCTCAGGCCCTCATGGAGACAAAGTCAGAAAGGAATCTCAAGCATGGCTTTGCTGGACTCTGGTGACCGAAGAGTTCAGAGAAGGGATTCTGCAGTCTTAGCCTGCCCTCAGGGCAGCACAACTGACTGGCCCAGAACTGGAGTGAAGCAGGAAAGCATAAATAGGAGTGCTTGGGACCCAGCTGAAGAGGGTCAGAGTGTGGGAGGGTGAGCAATTCGACAGGAAACCACCCAAGTCAGGGCAGGTCTGGGCCCCAAGCTGGTGAGAGTTGATGGTCACCCCTTTCCCTCCCCACTTCAAATGGCCATTATTTACTAGAGCAAAAATGGTTCTGTTGTTGGGGCCCATTGAGCCAGAACTAAGCCCTAGCTGACTCTCCAGTGGGTTTTCAGGGGTAGTAAATAGCACAGGAGATTACCTATCCTATTCCTGAAGACACTGATGTGACAAACATGATACTGGTTAAACATGGTGGACAGTGTTTGGTGGCTCTCCCTGATTAAAACAAGCTTGGAAGCAGGAGTGGCATCCACTTCCAAAATAGCTTGTCTCTGGAAACCCTATGAACTTGGAGAAATGAAAGTTAAACAAGTGTTCAGGTCTCATTCATAGGGTTGCTATGTGTACCCTGTGGCTTGATGACAATTAACAACAACAACATAAAGTTCAATTGGCCCAGTGGACAGAAAGTGATGCTACCAAGCCAAAAGTGGGTGATTTTAATCTGCGGCCCTTAGGCCTGGTTTTAATTGTTTTTGGTCAAGCGTTTTTCTAAGTGATATAGCACTGGTCTGTCCATTTGCTGTATAGAGGTAACTCATGGTTGCTGCAAAGCTGAACACTGTGACACTGATGTGTCAAATGTGATAATGGCTACCCTTGGTGGACAGTGTTTGGTGGAGCTCCTGAATAAAACAAGCTTGGAAGCAGAAGTGGCATCCACTTCTGAAATAGCTTGCCTCTGGAAACCATTATGAACTTGGAGAGAGGATGAAAGTTATACAAGTGTTCAGGTCTTTTGTTCACAGGGTCACTATGAGTTACCCACGACTCAATGACAACAACAACAACATTCCTGAAGAGAAGCTGGTGTATTTGAACTGACTTTGGAATTGCAGTGTAACTTCTTGCCACTAGGCCACCATATGACAATAGTCCTAGCAAAAATTGAAGTTGAAACATTTGCAATGAGATGTTAATTTAAAGCAATCCATAACATCTTGGTAGAAATTAGAGTTTGTGCCAAAAAACTAATATTGCCAACAAATACAAAATGGATGTAAGATGACAAGACAGCAAGGTTTTGTACATTTGACACGAGCATATTTTCACCCATCATCTGTGTAGGCTTAAAAAAATAGTATGCTGATTTGTACAAGCAAAGTTTTGGTTTTTCCTCATTCATAAGGTACAACAATGCAGCAGGCAGAAGATATTTTAAATTAAAAAAAACCCACAAAACACACTGGAGGATAAAATCAATGAATGGGGCCTTCTTAAAAATCAAATCCCTGTGTGCTTCAATAGTTTTCTCTAATTGAGTGAAAACAAAGCCACAGATCTGGAAAAAACATATGGCAATGGCATCAGACAGGAGTCTTATAATGAAAGTTTACAGAATACTATAGGGCCTCCACAAGAAAAAAAATTGATAACCCATTCACAAATTGGCCAAAAGACATGGAAAGACTCTTCACAAATGAGGATGTCTAACAAGCACGTGAAGAATGCTCAAAATCACTATTAATTGTTGTTATGTGGTGTCAAGTTGTGACTCAGCCACCATATGTACAACAGCTCTGAACCCTGCTCTATTCTGAGCCAACTTTATTGTCTCTGACACACCTACCCCATGACTCCAGTCACTGAGTCAATCCATCTCATCCAGGGTCATGAACTGCTAGGACACAAACAGGTTCATCCTGGAGGGTGAAATCAGGCTGCTCCTTGGATGCAAGGATTTTGAAGCTTCATCTGGTATACTTTGGGCATGTTTCAAGGAAGGGCAATACCTTGGAGAGGGACACTAGCAACTGGAGAGATGCAAATCAAAACAAAAATTAGATACCATCTCACTCCAACAGCAGTAGCAAGGTTTAACAATACAGTTAATAATAAATGCAGAGAAACTGGAACTCTTATGCATTGCTCATGAGACTGTAAAATGGCATAGCCGCTATGGAAGGCAGTTTGACATTTCCTTAAAAAATTGATCATCAAAAGCTCATGTGATCCAGAAATTCCAATGCTAGGAATATAGCCCAAAGAAATCACTGAGACATAAATGGAGCTATCTACACCTATGTTCACAGCAGCGTTTTTCACAATAGCAAGAAAAGGAAACAGTCTGAATTGCCATCAACAAACCAATGGACTGAAAAAATTGTGATACATCCATACAGTGGAATATACTATGCAGCACTAAGGAAAAATAATTTCATAAAATATTATGTAAGATGAGAGAACCTAGAGAGTTTTATGCTGAGTGAAACAACTCAGTTCTGTAAGGATAAATACTATCCAAGACCACAATTGTGAAAATAGGGTTACTGAGCAGGATATGTAAAAATGTTCAGAAGGGGAAAGGGGAAAGGGCTGACAGAAAAAGGGAAAGGGGGGGGAATATCACTGGGATGCAGAGGTTGGTGAGTGGAACAAGGGGTGAGGGAAGGGGATTCAGTGGGGACTTGAAAAGATGGGGTCACATCAACAAGGCAAAGAACAAGAACCATATGGTCCTATCAATTGATGCAGAAAAAGCCTTTGATAAAATCCAACACCCTTTCATGATT